AAATGGAATACGGACAACAATCCGTTGACCTTTTATAAAACACAGGACACGGTCACTAGCACGATCGGTCGATGGATGTATTACATCGACCAGTTCGATTTTGACCCGTGTCACATTCCCGGTCCCGCCAATCGAGCTGCGGACGCCCTCTCACGACGGCCCGACTTTTGTGCCATTGCGACCACGGCATTTGACCTCGATGACGATCTGCAGCAGCATTTCGTCAAAGGCTACAAGTCCGATCCGACTTACTCTACGCTTTATGCAGATCTTTCATCGGATCACCCGTCGGCTAGCCATTATCGGATTTCCGACGGGTTCCTTCTCCTTCACACGAGAGGAAAGGACTTGTTAGTGGTGCCCCAAGATCGCATCTTACGAACTCGTCTTCTCGGCGAATTCCACGACGCACGACTTTCGGCACACCTTGGCATGAACCGCACACTAGCACGCCTCCGCCAGCGTTTTCACTGGCCCGACATCCTCCACGACGTCACGAGGTACATTGAGTCATGTGCAGTTTGCCACCGTAACAAGGGCCGATTTCGAGTCCCCTTCGGCGAACTGAAACCGTTGCCGATCCCTCGGGCACCACGCCTCTCCATTGCTATGGACGTGACAGGCCCGTTTCCCCGCGATCGCCACGGCCATGACGGTATTCTCACGGTCGTTGACCGTTTGAGTAAGTATGCTCGCTTTCTTCCTTGCAAGTATCATGCTGCAGCGCCTGAGCTCGCACGACTCTTGCACACCGGTTGGATTAYCAACCAAGGTGTTCCGGAAGACATAGTGAGCGACCGAGACACTCGCTTCATGTCAGCCTTTTGGACTTCTCTCATGACGGAGTCCGGCACGACAATGAAGCCGAGCTCGGCTCGGCACCCGCAGACGGATGGTCAGACGAAGCGAGCGCACCAGACCGCTCAGATGGTGTTGCGTACGCTCATCCGTCCCGACCAGAAAGATTGGGTTGACCGGCTTTCCGACATCGAGTTCGCCTACAACACTTCGGTGCACCTGGCGATCTGGGTCACACCATTCGAGCTACATCATGGTGGAGAGAAAACACGGATCTTCGCTGATCTCCTTTTGCCACAGGYTGCCGACATAGACGTCCCTTGCTCTCGCGCTTCTGTCAGGAAGTATCGGGACTTGCTGATCAAAGCCCGCGCGAATATGCAAAAGGCTCAGGTCCGCATGCAGTAGCAAGCTAACCGACGTCGACTTCCATGTCCTTTCCGCGAGGGAGACCTTGTTTGGGTCCTCTTCGAGGAATTTGCGCTCGAGCAGGATGTTTCGCGCAAACTCCTTCCGAAATGGTTC